ACATGAGAGGGGGGAGGGTCAGAGGGAGAAGCAGACTCCCTGCCGAGCAGGGAGCCCGATTCGGGATTCGGGACTTGATCCCGGGACTCCAGGATCATGACCTGAGCCGAAGGCAGTCGCTTAACCAACTGAGCCACCCAGGCGCCCTCTCTGGCTCATTCTTCCTGTTACTCTTTTCTCCCTTTGTTTCCCCCACCCCCGCCAGGATATTTTCATTTAATTTATCTATCTTATCTATCTAACAGCATTTATCTAACCACACAGCACCGGCTGTGTGCCATTCACTGCACCAGGTGCAGATGAATAGATGAATACGTAGCCTGGGCTCGCAAGGGCTTTACAATCTAAAAGTGGAAGGAAGCAGTGGAACAAGTTAGTGGGCGTCATGATACACTCAAGCACAGGCTGCAGTGGGGATGCCAGGGAGGGAGTGGTCTATTTTATTAGACCAGGGGTCGGGTTAAGAGGGGTCAGGAAGGGTGCCTGGGTGGCTCAGTTGGTTAAGCGACTGCCTTCGGCTCAGGTCATGATCCTGGAGTCCCAGGATCGAGTCCCGCGTCGGGCTCCCTGCTCAGCGGGGAGTCTGCTTCTCCCTCTGACCTTCTTCCCTCTCGTGCTCTCTGTCTCTCATTCTCTCTTTCTCAAATAAATAAATAAAATCTTAAAAAAAAAAAAAAAGCGGTCAGGAAAGTCTTCTGCCTGGACCACTCATCCCCTGCTTTGCCCTGAGCTATACTTCATCTCTCAGTGCTCATCTATAAAATAATGTGGCAGTCATGGAAGTGTGTTGCTCAGATGTTTTTTCAAGACAGTCAGCTTTGAGGAGTGCCGTTGACTCACAGCCTCCATCTGTTGCCTTTGGATCTGCAATGGCCTGTATACTGAGGCACGCTTCTCCTGGGCACCCCCATGCCCGTGACCGAGCATGGCGGCAGCAATGGAGCCCAGCCAGTTCTGCCCAGGGTGGGATTCTACTGGGGAGTCTCTGCTCAAGGGCCCCCCATTGGCTTGGCTGACACTTTCTCAGGGTCCTGCACTTGAAGGAGCTTGCTCTCAAATCCTCTTTCTCCTTTCAGAGGTGTCAGATCTGCATTACCACCTACTTCTGTACTCTCCCCTTTATCCTCTCATGGTATTGTTCCCACCGAATCACTTGCATGCCTGAATGTTTTGGCATTTGCAGTCAAATGCTCTACCACTGAGCTATACCCCCTAAATGTTTTGGCATTTGAACCTAACACAGGGATATGACAGGACCTGCCGTACAGTGCTGTTGTGAGAATTCAGTGAGTTAATATATGTGAAATGCTTAGAAAAGGGCCTGGTACATAGCAAGTGTTATGCTATTGTTGTTGTTAGCTATTGTTATTACTATTTTGTTATCCTTTAGATCTCAACTTCTATTTTACTCTCTGTAGAAACCACAGATCTCTCTAGAGCGCTCCCAGCAGCATCTTGTCCTTGATTCTATTCCATCGCTTTGTTTTCTTGTTGGCCTTCACACTTAGATGGTGAATTCAGTGAATAATGGAACCTTGTTGGGCTTACTGTTGTTTATCCGTGCCTAACATTGTGTCTGACTCATAGTAGGTATTGAATTGATGTTTGTTGAATGAAAATGATGATTCAGTGGAGTATTAACAGATGAGCATTATTTGCCAAATGGATGAGGGCTGGGAAAGAAGGAATGTTGAGAGAATTGTGTACTGGGGCATGAAAGGCCTGTGGGATGCTGAAAGCTGCTAGTTATGATTGAAGAGTGGGGTGCAAGAGAGATGTGGCAAAAAAGAAGCCTAAGGAGTAAGTCAAGGGCCAGAGCACTGGGATGGCCTGAATGCCAAGCCAAAGAGTTTGAATGGCCTAGATTCACCTCATGCAGGTGTCATGGTGCAGGTCTTATGCTGTCCTAGTGGGTTCACACCCATCTTTGATGGTGTTTTATGTCCTTATGAATCATGTGTTACTTCACCCAGCACTATAGATTGCCCCCAAATGGTGGCTGTTTCTCTAGAACTTCATGAAGAGATGTAAGCATCTCTGAGCACTCATTTCTTTTTTTTTTTTTTTAAAGATTTTATTTATTCATTTGAGACAGAGATACAGAGAGAGACAGCGTGAGTAGGGAAGAGGCAGAGGGAGAGGGAGAAGCAGGCTCTCCCCTGCTGAGCAGGGAGCCCGATGCGGGGCTCGATCCCAGGACCCTGGGATCGTGACCTGAGCCGAAGGCAGATGCTTAACCATCTGAGCCACCCAGGCGCCTCTCTGAGCACTCATTTCAACAATGCATCTGATTGGTCTTTATTTACAAACTGCTTTGGCTGCAATATCTCACCCAAACAGTTGGGTCTCTTAACCGATCTCTTTTTTTTTTTTTTTTTCCAAAAAAATTTTTTTTTTAAGATTTTATTTATTTATTTGAGAGAGAGAATGAGAGACAGAGAGCATGAGAGGGAAGAGGGTCAGAGGGAGAAGCAGACCCCCTGCTGAGCAGGGAGCCCGATGTGGGACCTGATCCCGGGACTCCAGGATCATGACCCGAGCCGAAGGCAGTCGCCCAACCAACTGAGCCACCTAGGTGCCCTCTTAACCGATCTCTTTGCCTTCCTCACAGCCCTGTTAAATATACCTTCCACTCCCACTGTGAGGCAGATCTCTCTAAATCTAAATCTGCTTATTTTACTCCTCAATTTAGTACCTCCCAATAATAGCACACTCTGGTTGCCTACAGGACAATGTCTAGATTCCTTAGTGTGGCCCACAAGAACATCCTGGTCTGAGCCTTCACGGCCTCTGGATGCTCTGTCCTGCACCACGTTCAACTGCTTGTAGGCATCAGGAGGGTATGCTCACCACTTCTTTCATATACACACTGTTGCTGCCTGGAATGTTCTTCATCCGGGTCTACTTTTTGGACTCTTAGCTATCTTACAGGAAGTAGTTCCAAAATCAGTGCTTCTGTGAAGCCGTTTCTAACTTTGTCGGCAGTGGGTCCTACTCCTTTGCAGCCTTACTAGACTCTGTGTATGCTGTTACGGCACCCACCACACTGCATGGCACTTGTCTTGTTACCCCCGATCCCCTCTCTGGACTGTGGCTCTGTGAGTATTGGTGACTATGGAGTCCCCAGCCCTGGGTGCAATGCCTGGCACATAGTATATACGCAGTAGATAACTGGTTAAAGAGAAAAGGACAGAAGGAAATGAAAGCTGTTCTCTTTCTTTTGAAGGGGAAGGAGGTCCCCTCACCATGTGGCTGCCCGTGGTGGCCCTTGTGGGCCTCTACTATCTCCTGCGCTGGTACTGGGAGAGGCAGGTGGTGAGCCACCTCCAGGACAAGTACGTCTTCATCACGGGCTGCGACTCGGGCTTCGGGAACCTGCTGGCCAGGCAGCTGGACCTGCGAGGCTTGAGGGTGCTGGCCGCGTGTCTGACGGAGGAGGGGGCCCAGCAGCTGAGAGGCCAGACGTCAGACAGGCTGGAGACGGTGATCCTGGACGTCACCAAGACAGAGAGCATCTCTGCGGCCGCCCAGTGGGTGAAGGAGCGTGTGGGGGACAGAGGTAAGGAGAAGTAGTTTCTCCTTTCATTCATTCAACTGCATGGGCATGAAGTTGTTAAAGTTTTCTCTCTATATGTAAACTCTCAAAAGCAGGGCCTAAAAGGCTGTCTTTTTCACTTGAAGGATAGTCCTGATCCTTGGTGGTGTTTCATTTCCTTAACAAGGTTTACCTTGAAGAATGAGCCAAATAGATTTGAAGCTATTATCCCACTTTTGCCAGTGGAGTATTTATAACCATAGTTCTCTTATGCTTAAAGAATTTTCAAGGTATTCTTTTTTTTTCTTTTAAAGATTTTGTTTATTTGACAGAGAGGGACACAGCGAGAGAGGGAACACAAGCAGGGGGAGTGGGAGAGGGAGAAGCAGGCTCCTTGCTGAGCACAGAGCCCGATGCCGGGTTCCATCCCAGGACCCTGGGATCATGACCTGGAGCTAAAGGCAGACGCTTAACAACTGAGCCACCCAGGGGCCCCGAATTTTCATCGTATTTTTAAGAAACTGATTCTTCTCCCCTTGGCTACCATTTAAAAGTCATTCCTGGGCACCTGTGTGGCTCCGTTGGTTAAGCGTCTGCCTTCGGCTCAGGTCATGATCCCGGGGTCCTGGGATCAAGTCCCATGTCTGGTTCCTTGCCTGGCGGGGGAGCCTGCTTCTCCCTCTGCCTTCCGCTCCCCCCTGCTTATGTGCTCTCTCTCTCATTCTCTGACAAATAAATAAATAAAATCTTTAAAAAAAATAAAGTTACATTTAGCATACATATTTCATATTATATGTCTTATAATTCTAATATCTAATGTCTTTGTGAGTCTTTTTCTGCTATTGATTCTGCTGGTTCTTGAGTTTGGTGTTTTGTTTCCTTCTGTATTCTGATTTATGACAGTGAACTGCCTTGACCACCTTGAACTTAATTCTTGGCTTGAGAGTTTTGGACCATCCAGATAGTGGGAATTTGGCCGCAAACTCTCATGAGGGATGGCTTGTGGTTATGATTCCTCAGGGTTGATAGGGTTGATTCTTGCTGCTTCTCCACAACACCAAAGTTCAAGGTGGACAGTTTTACTCTCAGTCCTTTGGAAGGACTTTCTATCTTACCCTTGTACTGAGAGCATAGCCATTAAAGATCCCAGTTTAATGAAAAAAGTATTTTTTTTATTAGAATCCCTACCTTAGGTGGGCCCTGGACTTCATATCTTATTATGAATTTTTTTGAGGCTATAAATACTGAAATTCAAGTTCACACTGGTTGGCAAATTCCCTCAAATCAAAAACTGGCATCAGTGTTCTCTTTACTGTCTCTGGATTCCTGCCTTAGTTTTTGCCCTGACCTTTCTATACTTTCTTGTTAACTGATACATATAAGAACATTAAAAAAATATATTTTGTCTAACATTTTTAGTTGTCAGCAGGAAGATGGATTAAGGTAAATGGTCTGTCTGTGTTGTCTGAAACCAAACTTCTGCTTTGACTTTGTTTTAGGACTCTGGGGCCTGGTCAACAATGCAGGCATTTTTCACCCACATTGCTACAGTGAGTGGCTGAAGATGGAGGACTATATGGATGTCCTCAAAGTGAACCTCATTGGTTTGATTGAGTTGACCTTGAGCATGCTTCCCTTGGTGAGGAGAGCACGGGGGAGGATTGTTAATGTCTCCAGCATTCTGGGAAGAATTGCTTTCTTTGGAGGAGTCTACTGTAGCTCCAAGTATGGAGTAGAAGCCTTTTCAGATATTCTGAGGTAATGCTCTTAAGTTAAAACAAAAGCAACAAATATGTCTTACGCACTGTGCTCATTGCTTTCGCCTACATTATCTTATTTCATTACTCCAAAAATCTTGATTTGTAAATATTATTACTAGTCTGTTTTATATAGGAAACTGAGGCTCAGATTTAAGTCTCTTTCCCAAAGTTCACCTGCCAGCACCCGGATTTGGCTGAACTGTGTTTTGACCCTAGGTCTTTGTGTCCTGCCACCACATCACACTTTTCATTCTCAAGATTTATCCTTGATAAAATTTCATTTCTTGGGGCACGTGGATGCCTCAGATGGTTAAGCGTCTGCCTTCGGCTCAGGTCGTGATCCCAGAGTCCTGGGCTCCCTGCTCGGCGGGGAGTCTGCTTCTCCCTATCCCTCTGCCGCTCCCCCTGCTTGTGTGCTCTTTCTGTCAAATAAATAAAATCTTTAAAAAAAAATTTCAGGGCGCCTGGGTGGCTCAGTTGGTTAAGCGGCTGCCTTTGGCTCAGGTCATGATCCTGGAGTCCCTGGATCGAGTCCTGCATCGGGCTCCCTGCTCGGCAGGGAGTCTGCTT